CCAACTGTTTCCCCACATTTCAGTGGATTTAGTCTTCGACTGCCTCTCCATTTTGTGAGAAGCTACTGCCACGTTGATCAAACATTACACGTCATGTCAGGTGTCTTTCACATCATTTCACACCTCTCTCCTCTGACAAAAGATTGACGTTGACGCTCGCTTCGTTCAGGTTTGACTGACACACCTGTCCTGTGGACGAGACATGCCAGAGTTAAAAAGAGAGAATTATGATGGAGAGAAACCTCCACCTGTGAGGCTTTTCCTCTTGTGTTTTTATACATTTAAGAGATGAACAGTCATTATTATGAGACATAAAGACATAATTATTCAATACAAAAGGGATATTTTGAGAGAAAATGTCAGTTTTTGACATGTTGTAAATTATTTTGAATTGTTTATGTCATAATTCTGTCATTTCTTTCTCATAATTTCAACTTTTACCTCATCCTTTATTAAATGTAAGAATAGGATCTGTGAATTATGACAATATTGAGTCATAAGCATTTTTGTCCTTTCTATAAAGCATGCAGCACATTTATTAAACTACGATGTAAATATAGCTTTTTCCTATTAAATCGTGCATATTTTTGAATAGTATTTGGATGTTGTGACACGTTCTCAGCAAAGAGGATGTTGGCAACTAAAGGACACATAAATATGCAATATGGCCTCTGCTTTAAACACATGCAGTTATATGTTAGCTTCAGAACGAGCACAAAACAGGCTCCAAAAATACACCAGACAGGTTGTAATGAATTAAAATGAAGCAGGAAGCAGGCATGCAGGAGTAAATGATGCACACCAGGAGAGTTTAAATAGCCGGAGGACGTGTGGAGGCAGCGTGGTGATGGACATTTACTCTAGATATACGTTTCGAGGGCTGAGGGGGTGAGAGGAGTCCCGGGAGGTTAACATTTCTCATAAATTGATGAATGTAGGAAGCATAAGTGGAGAAACAAATCGACGAGAAGGGGGAGGGGGAGCATCTCGAAAAACCAGTCCGTCTCTTATTCTCTCGTTAAAACGCAGCAGATAAAATGTTATCAAGCGCAGAGGGGGACTTCCTATTTATAATGAAACAAGACAATTGTGTGTGTGCAGAGTCAAAGAGATAAGACGGGAATAGTGAATAAAGAGCAGAGAAGAAGAAGAAGAAGAAGAAGAAGTTGGGGTTTTGTGACCAGTTAGAGGAGCTGTAAACTTATTTCTGTATGTCCTCTATACGCAACACAGTCTCACGGCATTTCCTGTTATAGTCACGAAATTAATCTATTGATTCGTGTTCATCAACACGATTTCGTGTTGGTGAACACAAATCAATAGATTAATGTAATAATAACAAATTAGAAGGAAAAACAGATTTTTAAAAATACAGATTTCAGTATTCTGAGGCTCTGAGCCCCATTTATTTTCCTCGCGGACGGCAAAAAAAAAAAACTCTGACATTATACAATTTAAAATAAAAGGGATAGGGTTAGGCTTAGGGTAAGATATTGAGTAATAAAATGTGTTTATGAACCACACAGATCTGGTATTCCAAGACCCGACCGGACAAAAAGACGTGGTGCAGGCACGAAACATACTACCAATAGAAATACATTGCTTCTGTATTTCGTTCTGTGTGACACGAAAAAAATGCAAAAATCGTGTTGGTGAACACGAATCAATAGATTAAATTAATTTCGTGACTATAACACGAAATGCCGTGAGACTGGGAGAAAGAGAATAGAGTGATGCAGGAATGAGTCCTAAAACCCTGACATGAATAAGCACTTCCTGTTCCCTCGTCTAGAAGTCAATGTTTATTTGAAAATGTTTTTAGTTGTTAGCTTAAAATAAGGTCTGTGGTCAACACAAGCTAAGGATATTCTTATTCTACGACATAAAATACGTCAATAAATACCCCACTGGTGGATTTAAACCTGGCAGTTGCTAACAAATGTCGAAGTGAAACGACAAAACGTCAGCATGCCCAACGTTAGCCGCCTTAGCTTAGCGGTGGTGATGTGAAGTCATGTGACCGTGCTGTAGTTCCTTTATAGCCTAACATTAGCCGCCTTTAGCTTAGCGGTGGTGACGTGAAGTCATGTGACCGTGCTGTAGTTCCTTTATAGCCCAACATTAGCCGCCTTTAGCTTAGCGGTGGTGACGTGAAGTCATGTGACCGTGCTGTAGTTCCTTTATAGCCCAACATTAGCCGCCTTTAGCTTAGCGGTGGTGATGTGAAGTCATGTGACCGTGCTGTAGTTCCTTTATAGCCTAACATTAGCCGCCTTTAGCTTAGCGGTGGTGACGTGAAGTCATGTGACCGTGCTGTAGTTCCTTTATAGCCCAACATTAGCCGCCTTTAGCTTAGCGGTGGTGACGTGAAGTCATGTGACCATGATGTAGTTCCTTTATAACCTCACTTTAGTTTTTTACTTCAACATTTTTTAAATGGTGTTAATATGTGGAGATTATCCTATGAACAAAACGTGTAAATATCATAAACGTTTGTTTGCAACAGATTATTTTCTGCAAAAATCCAATGGAGAAATCCCATCGTTTTTTTCTAGAGGGAGCCCTTGCGATGCTAACTTCCGGGTCAGCCTACAAAAATACATCATCACAACACTACTCTAAGTAGTATCTGGAGGAGTGAAGGTAAAAATGCCACGAAGAAGCAAAAATGATGTGGCAGAGGGAAATATTTATGAGGATGTGAAGCTGCAGTAGAGAGAGTCTCTGGGTGAGATAAGAGGAGGCAGATCTGAGGTTTCCCTGACAGACAAGGTGACTCAGTGTGTGTAAACAAGAACGCCTCCATCTCCCCCCTGAACCACCGGGGTTAACACCTCTGTCCGTCATTCTGGGCCATCTTCATTGCGGTGTGGGGAGATGGGAACACACACTCAAAGAGCACAGACTGCCGCCGCTGGGACGAGATGGGGAGGAAGAGGTGTATGAGATCCCTTCACCCTAAAAAAAAAAGATCAGATAAGGTCGACAATATTTTTCGTCTGCGCGGGCAAGAAATCCCTTCAAGCACGGCTGAGTTTTTGGGTGATACAGCAAAAGATAGGGCTGCAGGATGTGGAGAAAAAACTACATATCAACCAATAAACACTATATTCAAAAACTTGCTTGAAGAACAGAAAATCCTCTCAGAGAAAATACTCACTGTATGGAAAAATGGCCTCTGTATGCAATATATTATTATATATTTTACATTATTAGATGGCTAATAATATTGCATCAAATTAGGGTGTAATTGTGCTTCCTACAGTGCAAAACTCACCTCAGTATTGATATGTCATCTCGGTGTATATTTCTCCCTCTGTTTTGAGCGAGAGCCTGTTTTTGTGTTTGTTTGACCCTCACCATCCTGCCTCCCTTCATGCTTCCTGTCTGCCAGTATTAGAGGCTTCAGTGAGAGGCAGTAATAACCAGCGAGCCCCTGGTAACCCGTCAACTCAGCCTCCAGAGAGGACATCATGACAGACACCATGATGCTGCAGATTATAGCCACCATGAACCATGACTCTGCAGATTACAGCCACCATGACTCTGCAGATTACAGCCACCATGACTCTGCAGATTACAGCCACTATTACCCATGACTCTGCAGACTACAGCCACCATGACTCTGCAGATTACAGCCACCATGACTCTGCAGATTACAGCCACTATTACCCATGACTCTGCAGATTACAGCCACCATGACTCTGCAGACTACAGCCACCATGACTCTGCAGATTACAGCCACCATGACTCTGCAGATTACAGCCACCATGACTCTGCAGACTACAGCCACCATGACTCTGCAGAATACAGCCACCATGACTCTGCAGATTACAGCCACCATGACTCTGCATATTACAGCCACCATGACTCTGCAGATTACAGCCACCATGACTCTGCAGATTACAGCCACCATGACTCTGCAGATTACAGCCACCATGACTCTGCAGATTACAGCCACCATGACTCTGCAGATTACAGCCACCATGACCCATGACTCTGCAGACTACAGCCACCATGACTCTGCAGATTACAGCCACCATGACCCATGACTCTGCAGACTACAGCCACCATGACTCTGCAGATTACAGCCACCATTACTCTGCAGACTACAGCCACCATGACTATGCAGATTACAGCCACCATGACTATGCAGATTACAGCCACCATGACGCATTACTCTGCAGACTACAGCCACCATGACTATGCAGATTACAGCCACCATGACCCATGACTCTGCAGATTACAGACACTATGACGCTGCAGATTACAGCCACCATGACTCTGCAGATTACAGCCACCATTACTCTGCAGACTACAGCCACCATGACTATGCAGATTACAGCCACCATGACTATGCAGATTACAGCCACCATGACGCATTACTCTGCAGATTACAGACACTATGACGCTGCAGATTACAGCCACCATGACCCATGACTCTGCAGATTACAGACACTATGACGCTGCAGATTACAGCCACCATGACTCTGCAGATTACAGCCACCATTACTCTGCAGACTACAGCCACCATGACTATGCAGATTACAGCCACCATGACTATGCAGATTACAGCCACCATGACGCATTACTCTGCAGATTACAGACACTATGACGCTGCAGATTACAGCCACCATGACTCTGCAGATTACAGGAATTAATAAAGAACATGTTATTGAGTCTAAACATTTGTTATTATTGTTGTTATTTATTATTATTTAAACATTTTCATCATTTTTCCCTTAGGTTTATAGGACTAAAATACGTATGATGTGTACATGCTGTATGTGAGCTAATACGTTTTAACATTTGACATTATTTCAATCTTATTTTCTGTTTGTCTCATGTTGTGTGCATCCTTTGCATGAAAAGTGCTATATAAATAAACCTTTATTGAAATAATGATTATTAATGCAGCTCTACCTGGGTGTGCAGCTTCATCCCGCAGTGTGGTGAGCACACAGCGCCCTCTGGTGGAGAAACACTCAAACAACCACTTGTTATTTTTCTGTTTTAATCTGATATTAAAACACATTACAAAGTCAGTATGCAAATAACCTCATTTGTTAAATTAAATAATAAGAAATGATAGAACCGGACTGTGTTGATGCGAGCCTGAACCATCAATTAACCCATGTTTAAACAGAGAGGCCCATGACTTTAGTCTGCAAACCAATAAATATGATAACACTACTTCTACAAGTGTAAAAAAAATGCATACCTAGTTTGACATTAACTTTATATATTGACTTAAAGCCCAGTAGCTCACACTGTCTATCATACTGAAATGGGTGAAGGAAATGCATGGAGTGTGAGGATGATACAAAAAAAACACTGAGAGAACAAGTGCATGAGCGTTTCCAGAGAGGAGTTTTCATTAAACTATGCACATTAAAAACAATCCTAAAGAAATGTTCCGAGAGCAGGCAAACGTCTTCCTGTCGTCACAGACAGACAAAACAACACACCACGATACAAACAGTGCAATTCTTCCCACGGTGCCTCAGCGACACCAACACTGTCCCCGGTAATGAGTCTGATCAACAGTGAAAGGTGTGGAGTGTCTACAGCTGAAGGGCTCTTCTGTCCTCACGTGGCTTAAAGGAGGATTCCACATCATTACAACTCGGGTGGTTTTGGAGTTTTAGCAACAATTTCTATATGTTTTAAAAGACATTGTACTGATAAAGGTCCCTGATGAGATAAGGGCAACACACACGAGCAGGGAGACAGATTACTTTAGTGTTTTGCACTATAGATTTTGTATTGTAAATGTGGATGTGAAGCACCATCATGACCAAAATAAAGGTTAGACATCAGGCTAATTATACTGTACATCTCTTTAAAATGTTAACGGTTGGTAGTAACAGCAATATGAGCACAGAACTGTACAAATGAGACTTGAATTTGTCTGCGTAAGTTAGTTTGTAAATGTATGTTTTGTTTTACGAGGTCCCGTCTTACTTGGATTCATCCAGACTTTCATACGTTTGGAGATTTTTCGTTCACTGTCGAAGCATGTAAGAAACTATTCTCCAAGAGTTCAGGGAGAGTTGTTGATATACAAATGGTCATTTTGGTGATGAGGAAGTATTCCTTTTAGCTCTAAATCTGTACCCAAGGTAATTATCCCTTAAAATAGCATGTTAACATGTTCTTGCCGAATCAGACATCAGTCTCCTCACAGCTATGGAGCAAATGGACCTGATGGGAAACTGTGTTTAAGGAAATTCTAATCCAGCCCTTTTAATAAAACCGCAAGTGAACACGCAACATGTTGGGAATCATCGTACAGGAAAACTGTGGGCACACAAACACACATTTTTTGTGAGATTTCTGGATTTTTGTTCTGCCCCATCTCAGTATGTAACCTGATGAGTACAATGTCATTATAACAGCTAGAAATCAGAGCCAAAACTACTAATACTTCAAGTTGTAATAAACCGCAATTGTACTTAAAATACAAAACTGATATAAGCAACAGAATATTTGTTGTTGTGAAGCCTCTTTGTTTCAATACAAATGTTAAGGGAGCATGTACACACACACACACACACATACACACACACACACACACACCAAAAAAAGGAAAAATGGCTGACTACTAGTCTATTCACCAGCTCATAGAGTCCTGTCGTGAACCCGGAAATGTTGAGTACCCCAACGTTTTTATGTAAGAAATATAAAGTATGGGTTCCCAGCTAACTTTCACAAGTTGGGCAATATGCAAAATTACCATAAGTTGCATTAATAAGCATTAATGAGCATATACATACAATAGTTATTGAGGATGTTGAATTAATTTCTGCCATTTTCAGGGCAGTTTTAACCAGAAAGTGGCCGTACCTGTACTCCCGGGGACTGGTTTTGATGAATTTGGGTCCACTTGAGCGTTTTAGGGCACTCAAAACTGCATTCTAACATAAAAATGTGGGGTACTCAACATTTCCGGGTTCACATTGCTGGCAGGTCGACTGTTCCCCTAGAGCTTGGTCTTAGGCCAAGGCAAAGAGTGGATTCGGAGATTCAGTATTTACAGTCTGACAGTCCGCGGGATAAAATAAGAGAGTCTCATTTGTCCTTGTGTTCTTCCTGAGTGTTGTCCTCTATGACCACGATCTGGACGCCCGACAGCTGTCCGCTGGCGTCCAGCTGCAGCCCCTCCACCCCCCCAGTCTGCACCTCCTGCATTTGGCACTGCGTCTCCTCCATGCCGGTCTGCATCATCATGGCGTCCTGACCCGAGTCCCCGCTCAGCTGCAGCTCCATCACGCCCACCGCCTGCTCCATGGGCGCCGGGTTGATCTCGATGACCGTGTGCTCCTGTCCCACCTCGCCCTGAAGAATCACAATCAAACTATATTTATATAGTACTTTTCATACAGAAAAGGTAACTGCAAGTGCTTCACAAACCAAACACACAGACAATTTACAAATACAAACATTACTATCTCCCCGTTCCCCGAGGCCTGTACTACGAAGCCGGATTTTCTCTTAGCCGGCTGACTTCAGGGAAAACTCGGGCTTTCCGGTCCTACGACGCTGGTTCTCTTTTTAGCAGGCTAGATTTCCATGGTAACTTATGCTGAGCGGCAAACCTGCTCCGGAGCAGGTTAGGTGGCAGGCTAAGAGATCAACTCAGTGAAAGCACCGCCTGCTGACCAATCAGAGCTCCGTGTGCGGAGTTTAAAGCTATCAAGTCATATTACAGGATAGAGGAAATACAGAAAAACTGCCGTTGCAGGAAAGACGGCCGGCAAAAATCAACTGACTGTGTGAACGTGAACATGAATAGAATATCCCCTCCCATCTTCAGAGCAATCTGACTATTATAACATTAGCGTTAAGAAAGCTTACTTAAATATCTGCCACAACATAAGTAACCGGATCAGAGTAACATTACGTACAGTCCGCGGCACTGTGAGTGCAGACGTCGATGTGTCCCATTATCATTCATATCATATCACATCATAATGCATCATATATTTCCTTATTTGAGTCAGCTGAGCCGTATCTGGCCGTGCAACACTCACAGTGTCACATACTGTATGCAGAAGTATTATTTTAAGCAACACATTAAGTTGACGAAACACTCGAGTCAAATGTAATTAAAGTCAGATCCACTCGTGTCTTGGACGGGGCAGTGATTTCATAAACCTGTTAATGTACGCATTCAAACGCTTTTTCTTTTACCAGCTGTATTCACCTTGCAGGTGCAGCTATGTGGCTTTTATCCTGGATAAAGTGTTTAAATCATGGATGTTTAAAGTTTAACTTCTTCATATTTGACTAATATTAAAGTTCACTTTTCATTCAGGAAGTATGACGCTGTGCTGTCAGTACGCTTGTCCGTGTTTGTGATTGGTCGAATGCTCCAAATACCACCCCTTTCATGTGAACGCGCACCTAACTAGATGGGACACGGCTGGCTTGAGCGATCCACTTGATAACCAGCGTCGTAGTACAGCTTAGCGAGAGCGCGTATGTTTTGGATTGGGCCAACCGGCTAACTCAAACATATCCAGGTTAGGTTGAACCAGCTTCGTAGTACAGGCCTCAGGTAATAACCAGAGTAACACATAGCTTTGTGATTAAAAGAACACTTGTAACCAACGCATTCTGATTGGTCAATTTGGAAATTTCTAAGGTTGTTAATACTCGATAACACACCGCTGCTAACCAAATAATGACTGGTGCTAAGGAGAATCAAGGTGGAAAGGGAAAGAGGTTGGACTGCAGATAAATCACCAGAAGAAGACAGACAGGAAGTAAACACTAACAGGAACACGGTATGGGCTCTGCAGTGTTTAGGACTTGTTAGTGGAAAACAAACTGTGAACAGACTTGGAAAATCACAGTAAATATCGATCAGAGCTGCCACCGTTTCAAGTTACGTTGCTGTTGCGAAGTTTTTCTAACTATCTACCTAGCGAACATTAGCTATCTACTTAACAAGCTAGCTAGCAAAAGTTAGCATTCTATCAATCAATCTATCTATCTACCTAGTTACCTCAGCTACCCATCTAACAAGCTAGGAAGCAAATGTTACCTCTCTAACTAGCTATTGCCAAATGAGTGGTTCTTGAAATTTAAATTATTAGATTGTGTACATAGCTACAGGGTAGTTATGACAATGACATTCTTAGGTCACAGGCTCCTCCAACAGTGCAACACAATAAAACAGATAATAGTGCAAGTAAATATAATATAATATAATATAATAGAAATAGTGCAGAATAGTCTATATACAAGTAATTGGAATATTGATATGAGTTGCAAACAGATGAATGTCATGGATGTTCTTTAAAAAGTTCAGGTGTTTAACAGTCTCTATCCATCTAAAAAATAGAACAAGATGTAGTCACCTCGTGATGCACCAGCATGGCTCCGTCCACCATCTGTCCCTCGAGGGCCATCCCCTCTCCGCCCCCTTGCTGGGTGAGCTGCAGCAGCTCCACGGGGCTCACCATGGTGCCCAGCTGCCCCGAGTCCTGCAGCGCGGTGCCCAGCAGCGTGAGGCCGGAGGACGGGTGCAGCGTGATGGTGTCCGTCTTCCCGTCCCCGGCCAGCATATAGCGGGTGAAGAGCTGCGAGCCGGCGGGCAGCAGCGTGACGGTGTTGGAGGAGGAGAGGCCGGCCATGGTGAAGGGCTGCCCCATGGAGGTGAGGGAGATGGGGGAGAGCACGGTGAACTGCTGGGGCTGCAGGGTCTGCTGCTGGGAGATGGGGGAGGAGAGGATGGTGGCGCTGGTGGAAGCGGGTCTCTGCAGGCGGGGGCGTTTGGGCGGACGCTTGGGGGGGGTTTTTGTTTTGGCCGCGGGCTGAGGGCAGGAGAGCAGAGCTCGGACCTGCTGCTGCTTCCTCTGGTCCTCCAGCTGCACCTCCAGGTCTACACACAGAACACAGTCAGCGCATTTATTAACTATCAGAGTGCACTTCAGTACTTATCTGAGATGTATCTGAATGTCAAGTCAAATCTCAAAACTCACATAAAACTCAATTCAAATGTAATTTAAAGTGGCAACAGACAAAGTGGCAGTATTTTGCAAAGACAATTGACTGATTTTTTCCTAATTTTTCATAAAAACAGGATGATCGATCTGCTTCTATAAACAAGAAACAATCGTAAGATCACAAATAATTGTTCTCCATTACTAAAAAGTAGATTTTGCACGCGCCAATAGTGATATTTGGAAATTGTTATGACTAATCTCATACACACACATTAAACTCAATTGAAATGTCATCTCTGTTTGTTGTCATATTTAGTATCAAGAGTGGCATTATATGCGGACAAGTGGATCTATTATTGCTAGCAGCCTTGCTACTATTCAAAGCAATTAATTCGTCTTACTAAATTAATTTGAGTCATTCTTTTGATATACCTTAACAGACACAAAGTCGTGTTTTAGAACTTGTAAATAAAGTACATGTTATCTAATGTGATCGGATGTAAAGAGGAGTGTGTGTGTACTCACTGCTGAGCGTGCAGAGGACCTGCTCCTGGCTCGGGTCCGTCTGCTGCCTCCTTGTCTCCACGATCCTCTTCACTGAGTCCAGCAGGCCGAACACCTGAGCCAGGTTACTGAGCACCGCCACCTCTACCAGACAGGAATCTGGGATCAGTGCGGCAATCAATCACAGGGTCACTCAGTCAGTCAGAGAGAAGGAACAAATCCAGCCGGGGTAAACATTCAAACACTAAGTATTTACTCATTATCCGTACACAAATCACACATTTAAAAGGCTTTCTCATGTTTGGCAATTTCATCCATCAGCTTCTGACAGCAGCTGAATTTGTTCCTCCATCCGTTCACTTCTTGTCAAGCACTTTGGAGCGAGATTTAAATACATGTTTTTTCTAAGGCTGTCAATAGATTTTTCCTGTAGTGTGTTATAAAGGATTTAGTGCATGTGAATGGTCTGTAAGGCTAAAATCCTTGTGTTCCCTCCAGAGGGAGTTTCTCACTCCAAACGTTCTTCCTCTCAAACTACGGGGCAGGCCGAGGGTCGTAATCACAGAACATGCACAAGCGGCTCTTATAAAAGCGTCTTAAAGGTCCCCTATTATACTGTTTTTCATCAATATATTATAGGTCTCAGATATATACAAAACCTGTCTCTGATTGGCTGAAACACCAAACAGATCATTGCAGCATCCCATAATCCCCTCTGTTTCAGCCCTGTTTCAAAAGTGCTGATTCTCTGTGTGTTACTTTAGATGAAAATAAGGAGCCCCTCCCCACGCCCCTCTGAGAGAGATTTGGTTAAAAAGAACACCATGGTGCTCTAGGACAGTGGTTCCCAAACTTGTTGTGCCCAAGGCACACCAAAGGACAAGTAAAAATCTCAAGGCACACCTATTGTGCGAAATAGCCCTTATAACACGTGTTATCACTCATATCATGTAAAATATCTGTAAATGTGCATAATTATTTACTAATGCCAAATAAAATGTGACAAAGACAACTATATTACTCATGAAATATTTATTAACGAAATATTTCAGAAATTAATTTGAAACTTTATCAAATTAGGCTTCATCAAAGCACAGGGATGAAACGTATACCAATATAATCTGTGGACTCTCAGGGCTCGACATTATAAATGGCCCGCTGGCCCGGAAGCATTATTTAGACACCGCGGCCAGCATAACGTACTTTCAACTCGCCCCACAGCTGTTTGCTGCGGAGCGCACTCCTTCACTACAGACTGTCTCTATCTCTCTCTCTCTCTCTCTCTCTATAACTATCTATCAATATATCTATCCATCTATCGCTCTCTCTCTCAATCTATCTCTCAATCTATAAGGAACCGCAGTAGACAAAAGGCGTTGCTATAGCAACACGTCATGTTTATATGAAAAGGGGTGGGGTCAATATGACCCGCTGGGCGGAAATAGGTATAAATTGACAATTTTTAACAACATAGGGTGCTACATAACACACTTTCAGGAAAAGTCACGGACTGGAAGACTTTAATATTTTATTGAAAAAAAGTTACACAGTTCTAGTGTTGTCCTTCAGCCTTCGATGTGTCACGGTCTTATAATTCCCACCTGCAACTGCGTTAACAGCGAAATATGGGGTTCTGTGAGGATTTTTTTTAAAAGAATTGTTTTTAGGTATAGAGTTTGCCTCTGTATTATGAAATGAGTGCATACAAAGTACTGATATAGTAAATTAAAAAATTATTATTTTTGTGTAGTTGTATATTGCAATAATAACGTATGGTTGTCACAAAATCCCACGGCACACCCGGACTTGCCTCACGGCACACCAGTGTGCCGCGGCACACCGTTTGGGAACCACTGCTCTAGGAGGAGATTCAGGTGATAAGGTGGGGGGGGGGGGGGGGGGGGGTTACCTTGGTTGGTGATTGGCTAATGGTTACACAAGCCAAAAAATCGTTATGACATCATAAAGTGGCCAAAATCTGATCAGCTCATTTTCAGACAGGTTTTTATATAAATGGATCAGGACAAAAAGAGAATCTTTGTTCCTGAGACTTTCAGAGTCTCTTTACACAGAGGGGACACATGTTGATGTGGAAGAGACATGAACAAGTGGATTTTGCATAATCGGTGACCTTTAAGGTATTCGCGTTATCTCATTATTTGACAGCCCTAGTTTCTTCTGCGTGATGCGTTGTATTTGCAGTGTACCTGTGTCCTGTAGGGCCGCCGGCTCCCTGCGCTGCTTCACCCCGTTCAGCAGCTCCTGCAGCTCCGTGCTGATGTTGGTCACCACCTCTCCCAGCAGACCCACATCAGCAATGCCCTTCCAGAAGTTCAGCGTGTCCTCTGTGGAAACACAAACACAGCAAAGTCACACGTGTGCTCCGAGTGTGATCTGTGAATGAAGTAATGGTGATATTAACTCTCTGTGTAGTGGGTGTGTGCTCTGTGGGACCTGAGATCTCGCTGGTCTCCTTCTTCTCTGCAGCCTCCAGTGAACTGGTGATCCAGTCCATCTTGGCACTCAGAGTCTCGGCTTTGTCCTCGCCCGCCGTGCTGCCGTTACCCAGAATCAACTGAGCTGTACGTCACAGATTATGGCAAATTAAACATACAGATATAAGAAATTACCTTTTAAAAGCACAACAATAAAGACGTAGGATAATGTGAGTTGAATGCTACATTGAAAACATGCAGCAGATTTTTGGCAGCCACATATAAAGGGCGAAAACAATAAGTGAACTAATTTTTTGAATATACCAAGTCATTATTTTGACATTATTAGTCTTCCAATAGTTACTAAGCCATTCTTTTCATAAAAATAGTAAATATTTTGAGTATATTCAATTGAGATACTTAGTCTTAATTTGAAGATACTTCATCTTCATAATTATGAAACACTAAATCATTATTTAAAGAATATTTGTAATTATTTAAAAAAAATACAAGTCTGGTATAACAATGCCTCAAAACTAAAAGTGTAAAACAGCAGAAAATAATCACAAAATAGCTCATCATGTTGGGGAAATTAGTATTTTATTACAGTCTTAAATCGCTTTTATTCCGATTTATAAATCAGAAATACAGACATGAATGTGACCTGTGTGTGTGTGTGTGTGTGTGTGTGTGTGTGTGTGTGTGTCCTAGCATTACTATCCTTGTGGGGACCTAAATCTGTTTACACAGTCACGTGTGGGGACTCGCTTCCCTTGTGGGGACATAATGGAGGTCCCCATGAGGGGAATCATTCATTTTAGGGTGAAGACTTGGTTAAGGTTAGGATAAGTCTCCAGGAAATGCATGTAAGTCAATGTAATGTGCCCTGATGTGATGTACACATGGTATGTGTGTGTGTGTGTGTGTGTGTGTGTGTGTGTGTGTGCGTGTGTGTGTGTGTGTGTGCGTGTGTGTGTGTGTGTGTGTGTGTGTGTGTGTGTGTGTGTGTGTGTGCTCACCCTGAGAGGAGGTGCCTGTGCCGTCGGGGGGGAAGCGTGTGTTGTTGATCAGAAGGTCGAACTTGGTGCTGCGACACGTGTTGGTGCACAGCGTGTTGTGCTCATAGAAGTCCAGCTGACCCGAATCCATCATTTTTCTAGAGAGCAGAAATGAGGAAGGGTTTCAGACAGTTAGTCAATGTTTAATTGGACACCGATGATCCCATCAATACTACCAAAAGGAATTGCAACCTTTATCAATGATATTTAACGTTTGGTGTGTTTTGAGCTCAGTGCACCTATTTTACTACATTATGTATCTACTTAAAAGGTAGGGTGGGTAAGAATGGAGAAACCAGCTCGAGTGCGCTAGAATTTGAAAGTACACAACCGGAAAAAATCTGCCCCTTCCTTCAGACTTCCTCACAGAGCCCCTCCTCCAACACACACGAACGCGCACATGACCAATGAGGGCACGAGATAAGTTTGTGCCCCGATGGAAGGCTGACAGGCAGGTAGGCCATCCAGTTATTTTAGCCGGGCCGGCTCAGATGATTGGTCGTGCTTTTTACAGCGCCACGGCTTCCACAGATGACATTTTTTTATGTGTTTATTGTCAAAGCATTTAATGTATTCATTGCTTAGTTTCAAATGGGCTAAACCCCTTAAGTGCTCTTTTTATTTAAAGGTTTTCATGTCCTGTTCATGTTTGAATTATGTCTGTAAAAGAAAGTCCCATAACAAAAATGAGCATTCACAGCTTGTTAAACATCCCTCATATACTGTCATTTTTCTTTTTACCAAGAATACGCCATATATAATAAGACAAGAGTCAAAGAAACAGGAGGTTTAGCAAAAAACAAAGCTCTAATATAACCATCTCATTCATATCTCACTAGAAATTGAATAAAGTTTAGTTAATCCACTTATATAAAGCTACACAGAATACTTTATTAAAGGGGACCTATCATGCAAAATGCACTTTTTAATGTCTTTTATACATAAAGATGTGTCCCCGGTGTGTCGGGGAACTCACGCATCGTCAGAAAATAAAACCCTCTCTCTTTTCCTCCGTACCCAAATCTCTAAAAACAGGGGTACAACGGAGCTGATCCAGATTTGTGTCCGATATGACGTAATATCTGAAATGTAGGCTGGCTTTACACCCAGGGCCAATCAGAAACGTTGCTATCAGAAACAATGCCAGACTGTTTTGGACGTAATATGGTCGGTGTTTACATTAGCATCGCTAACACTCAGAGCTAACCTCTACTGGAGAGCATGTGTGTGAAGAAGCAGGAAATAAAAAGGAACTCACCTTGTGGTATAACCGGCAAGAGAGAAAGCCTTTGAGCTCCATACTGTTTCAGAAATAATCCTTGATAATCCATGATATGGCGTTTCATCACGGCAGTATTTAGTTTAGACAGTAGCTGCCGGGTCCCGCATGAGCTCAGCCCCCTCCTTTTAATTTTTGTTATCAATTTTTATTTTTTTAAAGCTTTATACCTCAAATCAGCACTTTTGAAACAGGAAGTGAAATAGAGGGATATGAGGCATGGCTAGAATGGGTGATCTGTTTGGTATTTTGAGCAAAACACTTCATAGACATGTTTTTTATATATTTTTATATATCTGAGACCTATGCTATTGCCTAAAAATAGCACGATAGGTGACCTTTAAGTCACGGTTTAGCATATTTATTGAAGACGTATGAGTAAGCGTTTGCATGCAGACTGTGATCATTATAATGTTGTGTTCAGTGCATCGAGGCAGAATTCTGAATATTTAACCCTGGATTTCGGCTCTAATGCAGACATGAGTCTCCTCACCGCAGCATGACCCCCCCCATCCTGATGGCTCTCTTCCAGTCCTTCAGAGTGGCTTTTCCAGAAATGTGCACAAACTGCTTGGGGCTGATTAGCTGGTCTTCATACTGGCGGGGGGAAAAAAAGACATTTAGTCCAGTGTAGCGGATAAAACACTAGACAAACTAAAAGCAAAATGACATACTGTACTCCTTATGTCTGAGTCTGATGAGGCTTTGCATTCATAAACATGCATGTTAATGTTCAAAAATTATTTTTCTCATACTGCCTGTGCTGCAGCACCTCTTTTCACCCTCTGTCTGAAACCAGAGCCCAGTCTGATCTGATTGGTTAGCTGGCCGGCTCTGTTGTGATTGGTCAACTGCTTAGAGATGTCCCGCCCCTAAGCCTATAAAGTACAATCTATTGGAGCGCTAACTAATAGAATCTCAAGTGTCACATATTGACTGTTACAATGGAGGCGTTTCGGGGATGTGTGTGTGTGTGTGTGTGTGTGTGTGTGTGAGAGAGAAACTCACACGGAACACAGGGATTTTAGCCCCGAAATAACAATAGGTTGTTATTTTTTTTAACAGCCATAGTAAGCACATATCCACTTGCAGTTGTAAACAGCATAATGCATTTTGAAGCTGACATGTTTAAAGAGAGCAGAAATAGGACATGTGACGCAGTTATTCTGGGACACGAGAAGTAGTGCATGTGTGACTATTGAGTGACCTAGTTGCCGTTCAGCTGTGTCCAGTCGAGTATAGCAACCATTGTAACAGTCTTTAAATGTGTCATTCTTAAATGTTGTATGTGAGGGACTACGGATGGAAACTAGCTCAAAGCTAAAATCCGGCATGTTTACGTTTTAAAGCATTATTTGTTGCTCTGGAAAGGGCTGCATGCACACAAGGAGATTTCTGATTGGAACAAACACAAGGAGATTTCTGATTGGAACAAACGTCTACTTTTAAACATTATGTAAGACTTGTATATAAACAGGTTTCTGGGTGTGTGCAGATATCACAAAGTCGACCATATCAAGAAGGAGGTTTAAGGATTGGAAGATGCTGCAGGTGGAATATTACATATATGGGAATAACCTATTTTGTTAACCATGTAAACAGTAAGAAGGAATATTGTCTTTTATCAGAATAAGGGCACATTTTGCACATTTTGCGGATGTTAACGTATTCAATGTAGACTTAAAAACCAGGATTAATACCAACCTTTACACATTTAACGTTGATTCCCGGGCAAACAAACTTCTTCACCAGCAGCAAAGCTTTACAGTCTCCGCAGGTTATGGGACAGCCGATTTCAACGTCATCTCCGTCAGTTTGTTCTAAAAGAATGACACCGAACTTAAATAAATATATACATTTTTCTAATGTAATATATGTAGTTGTTGTCTGTTCTCTCACCTTCATGTGCTTCAACCGTCATGACGGCTGCGTCTGTTTCAGCAGATTCTTCTCTGTAAAGGAAACTGTGTTTAATGTTTCTTCTCCGTGGTACAGAGCTGTGGTTCTTGAGCCTTTTCTATCATTGAGAAAACGGACTACTTCTGACTACGGGACACATATTTCATATTATAAGTAATGCATAACAAAAACAGTGCAGATACATTTCAAAACTATAAAATGACACAATAACTGCAGCAAATGTGTGAAAAATAGGCAATTGTTATGAATTTTGATTTGATTATTTCCTGTGAATATTGCATCAGAGATAAGTTTTATTGAATTACTTTGTGAGGAACTATTTTAAATAATACAACTTAATTTAGTTTTCTGCACAATAATAAATTAAATCCTGAGATACAGGCCAACTGAATACATACATAAAGGCCGAGAGACCCCTCTTAAGCGTTGGGGACCAGAGGGTACCGTCTGTGCATCTTATCTACTTAGGATAAGTCTCCTTTGTCCCACTGTTGTTAACCTGATGGTAGCTGATAATGTGGTATCCCTGTAGCTGTGTTAAATGATGATGTTTAAAAGTAAGTATTTCAGTCTCAGTTAGACCACCCCTGTCCTCAGTACATACCATGGATGGTATATGTAAAGAGGTACATACCCGGTGGGGATGGACTGCAGCTGGAGGATGACCTGAGTCTTGTTGGGGTCATCGGGGTCACAGTCTTCAGCCTTCACCATCACCACCTCGGCCAAGGACACCGTCACCTCTCCGGCGGTCGCCATCACGCTCAGAGCAGAGAGCACGGGGGGGCTGCTTTCATAGGACAGCTATCCAGGAGTACGTTCATCTGGAGAGAGATGAATACATTAGGAAACATGACAACAGAATTAGAATCATAAACATGTTACATAAACACAGTTAAATAAGATAAACGTAAGTAAAACGACTGAAATATAATATCACAATATCGATTTATTGAAGAGCCCTTATCATGATATCGCTTTTGTCACATGAGAAAACATTATATATAGGCTTCATATCATCTTTGCACACTTGTAAACAAGCAAAAGCAGCAATTCTTCTCTTCCACTTAATGTTCTGTTTACCCACTCATGGTATAGTTATTTAGATATAACGTTGGATGGTTAGATCTATACCAAATAATCCTATTTGAAAAGTGTTTCCTAAGTATTGTGTCAAAATCCTAATTTATTAAGGAAATAAATCTGTAGAATAATTGTAGTGGAGTAAAAAGTACAAAATAGATTTCCATAAAGTAGAAGAGTAGACGTAAAGTAGTATAAAATGAAAGTACTCGGGTAAAGTACAAGTACCTCAAATGTACTGGAGTAAATGTACTTAGTTAGTTTCCATCCCTGGAACAGTTTGAATTAAGGCTAGCAATATTAATTATTATAAAATGTTTATTGATGTGCTTTATTTATCACAACACTATATCGACTGGTAAATAATAATAGTAATAATAAGTTAGCTATTTTATTTATTATTATCCTATTTATGCTGACGTGATCTCACTGTTTTTAAACTGTTAGATTTTGAATTAAGATGTAACGGTTAGTGTATTTTACCCACGGGCGTTTGGAAACAGAAACCACAGTTTTGCGTAATTTCGGGGGATGCTAACTGACATGGAGGCAGTTAGATCACTCGGTCCCATTTTAGATAAATCCAGCATTATTTTAGCAGATAAAACACTCTTTTTGGAGAGGGTTATCAGGACCGAAGCCTGAATGCTGTTTAAATCCACACACACAGAAACACAGACATATAAAGTGGTATAACATGAAAATACTCAGGTAAAGTACAAGACTTGAGTAAATTAACCTAGTTACTTTAAACCACTGACGTCGTCACACTGATTTTAAACTGTCCGATTTTGAATTAACATGTAACGGTTAGTGTGCTTTACCCACGAACGTTGTGGAACAGAAACATGCTTTAAAGGGATGCTAGTTGACATGGAGGTAAGTATATCACTCGGTCACTTTTAAGATAAATCCAGCATTATTTTAGCGGATAAAACCCTCTATATTGTCAAAGTTACGTGGGTTATCACGTTCGCTGTATGCAGTCTATCTAATGCTATTTAGATCCACACACACACACACAGACACTGAAGCTCGACGGTAGCCATTATGGCTCAAGCAAGGGCGTAACTATATGTGTGAATCTGGACTAAAATCCACCAGCTATACACACCGAGACGGGTAACCACTTTGCATTTACAGTGTGACGGTTACGTGTGTGTGTGTGTGAACCGTACGTCCCTTCGTAACATTTTAACTCTCCCTCAAAATGACGTCTCCCTGTGCGGCGGCACGTACAGCAAACAACGGCACGGCGGCGGCGGCGTCTCCATTCTGTGCGGCCGCTGCACCCCATGCGTAAAATACACATCACTCCGCGGCTTAAAATAGCGCCAGTGTCGTGAGATCGGCTGGTGTATTACATATAAACATGTTTAAAATAACACAGTTAAAAAAATAGCTCGTGCTTACCGTTTTATGGAGAGAAACGCAGCGATAGATTGAGGAGAGCTGCGGCGCATGCGCAGTTCGGAGATACAGCTTGACTTCCTGCTGCACAGCGCTCGCCTTGTTATCTCGCTCCTGTAAACCCTGACTAAATCACCCTCAAACTCTTTTTACTGAGTGGTGACTTTATTTTATACAAGTGGCATGGTGTTTTTTAATACCTGGTGTCCTTATAAGCTTGACTTATAAAGATATATCTATGTAGAATGTGTCTTTCTGCTTGAATTTGCATTTTAAGTTGGTAAAATTTGAATACTGAAGCATAGAGCATTGTTTTGTTTTGCTTCAAACTTCCTAAAAAATCATCCTCACGCTTTGCCAAGGTGTAACATATAGGGTTGCTTGTTAAAATGTGAATTATGATGTTAATTTTCAAGATCCATGGGCAACTTTTGCAAAATTAGAGCCCATAGCTTTGCCTTTCCACTTTCAAATGTGTTATTTTGCTCCTGTAAACCTGGACAAAATCCCACTCAAACTCCTTTTATTGACTATTATCTTTATTGTATACAAGAGAGATAGTATTATTGCATACCTGAGCTTCACTTATAAAGATATATCTATGTACATTGTGTCTTTATCGTAGTATGTGAACATTTTTAAATACTGAAGCACAGAGCATTGTTTTGTTTTGCTTTAAACTTCCTAAAAATGAATCCTAACATTTTGGCAAGGTGTAGGGCTGCTTATTTAAATGTGTATTATATTATTATGTTCATTTTCCTGGGCCACTTTGACACAAGGATTGACTCCTATATATGGCTATATGACTGACAAATCTGCATTTATCTGTTTCTTGTATGAATCCTTATGTGACTCCCACACAATCCATCTGCTCTGGAAAATAATTAATATTGTAAACTCAGGCTCTTTTTATTGAATAGTATCTTTATTTTATACAAGAGAGATAGTATATTACATACCGGATGTCCTTATAACCTTTACTTATAAAGATGTATTGTTGTAGAGTGTGTCTTTCTGCTTGAATCTGCATTGTCGTTGGTAAAATGTAGTGTGTGTGAATTCATTGCATGGTATGTTGAATACTGCAGCCCAGAGCCTTGTTTTGTTTTTCTTCCGACTTCCTAAAAATGAATCCCCCCTTTGTGGGTCTTGTTAAAATGTGTATGACTATGTTCATTTCAACCCTCCATGGGCCACTTTGGAGTGTGCATAAGAACCTTTAATTGGAGTCCTTATGTGACTCCCACACTGTCCATCTGTTCTGGAAAAGCATTTAAACTGTGGCAGGATTTCTGTTACGTTCATTCTGGAAAATATTATCTGTTTACTGGAAAATATTATGTGTTTACTGGAAAATATTATCTGTTTACTGAAAAATATTATCTGTTTACTGGAAAATGTATTGTTTTGTTTAAAGATAAGATGAAAACAAAAAGGTCTTATGTGAGCCTGTACTCAAATGTGACTTTTTTCCCCTTAAATTATAATTAATTCAACAATGCATTTATTGATGTTGGCCCCTGGCATGTATATTTATATCATTACCTTATTTCATTTTATGTTCATTTGGATATCCTTAATGCTTACTCAGGGTTCCCGCGGGGTCTTAAAAAGTCTTACATTTGATAATCAGAATTTAAGGCCTTAAAAAGTCTTAAATATGATCAAAAAAATAAGAAAGGTCTTAAATATGATTTAGAAGATCTTAAAAATGTTCGGATTTGAAAGGTACTTCTGTGTTGCGATCGCGTCTAAATGTGTTTTGGGGGAAATGTCCGGGCTGCAAAGTAACCAGTTCCACCCAACAATTTGTATTGAAATAAATCAACATGGAACCAGTAATCACTAACTTTGTTTTTCCCGGCCCCTTATCGGAGAACACCCAGCTAGTAACCTAGCAACCAACCAAGCTTCAGCTAGCGACAGTCAGAAACTCACGTATCTTCGAAGTTCGAATCTACTTTAAAATAAATATGGGGAAGTGTAAGTTCAACCGTATTTGGTTGGAAAACATCGAATTTAGTGCTTGGTTGAAACCAGTGGAGGGGAACGTGTTTGAAGCCCGCTGCACCTTTTGCAAACAAAATTAGCGTTTGTTTTGCTAATGCAGCGTTAGCTAGTGCAGCAGTCTACGTCTAAAAGCGGAGGTGCTGTGGACGCTAAATACCGTAGCTAAACACCAATCATACAAAAGCATGAAGGCAGCAGAGCTCTGAATATAGCTCTTGTCACTCACTCACACGCACACACACACACACTTTTTGTCTAACACGCTAACACAGTTCTGTGTACTGTTATGCTGTTATGTTCAGTCGTCGTTCTTATGTTGAACATGAATACATTTACTTTGTAAGTAATTATGGGACGTATTTATTCTTTCATAGCAATTTTCCTTCATACTTTCTTGCCGTGAAATAGGTCTTAACTTCTATTCAAAGTGGTCTAAAAAGTCTTAAATTTGAGTTTGTGAAACCTGCAGGAACCCTGTTAATATGGTATTTTTTACCTTTGTTTCTGTTAAGAAATATCACTGCTTATTTGATTTACTATATATTTGACTTTAAATTAAAACTACTTAACGCTTCCATCAATTGTTGTCCTTGTGGAAAGTTAAAGTTGTATACATGTAGTTTAACAATAGTGCACACGTGATGCGTGGTGAATTTAATCAGACATTCTACTTCTTTATTTTTTACATTTGATGACGGGGCGCCAGGACACGTGATCACCGGCAGCCCCTGGATTAAAAATTGTGCTTCCGAAATCTCTTGATAGCGATTCCGCAGAAGGGTTGGTTATCCCCACCCCTCCTGTGCCAAGCACGGCAGAAGCCCTTTTTAACGATTCTCTGAAACGACCCAGTAACGCACCAGTAGACACATGCTCCTGACTCACGGTGCAAAGTGTGTGTTGGATGTGTGTGTGTGTATTTCCCAATGCGTTATAGTCTGTTCAATAGTAACCATGTATCATTTACATGTATGGATTGAAATATATAGGTTTAAGTCATGAATCGATGAAATTTAAGCCTGTTTGTATGTGGAGTTTGACTGCCGAAGAGCATGCTGGGTAACAAATGGGCATGGTTAGATGAAATCCTTAGCTATCATTTCATTGGTCACTTGTGCTGCGTTCACTAAATGTGGGGAAATCGACGAGCACATGAACATAAGCTTTTGTAAATTATGCTGGGAGATTTTAGAAGCCATAATGACAGACGTTTTCTCTCTAAATGCAGCTGCTTATCTAATTTATGTAGGTAAAACACATCAAATATAATGAAAAAGACAAACAGAATCAAGGAAGCTGACACTATAATGTCAGAATTAGCCTTCAATGCGTTTGCAATGTGTGATTTGTGTGTAGTAGTAAATATAAACTCCTTTTTGTTTTGAGGGAAATGCCCACGTTTCAAGATAAACACCTAAACAGCTTATTTGCTCATATTTATACCTATTCACAATCTAGGTCATGACAGTCTTCCACCAGCAGAGGGCGCCAAACCCCAGTAAAAAAAAACACAGAGTCCAAACATTATTCATTGTACATCTATTTATTACTTTTTTACTTATTTTTAACCAATCAATAAAATCACATCAAATAAAAAGGCGGAACTCCTTATACATGATATATAAAATAAATAACATTATTCAGTAAAGCTGTGAAATGTGACCATGGGGATGAAGAGCTGAACTGGGCTCTGTACGAGAAGCCCTATCAGTGATCATGTCTACGGACAAGATAAAAAAACAAACTACTGATGGTCTAATTCAACATTATGGGAAATGTGCTTACCTGTTTTCCTTCTGGGAGATTATGTTACATAGTATGTAGATATCTATGTGTTTAAAGTTATTTTGCTGCTGTTGTTATAGGTCAAATGTAGGTGTTGATCAATCCAAACTCAATTAAGAAACCACACATTTTAGAAGTTGTTCGCATGTCGTCTTGCAAAAAAGCATTACTTCGGACTTTTTAACTAATCACCATCATTTCGTAGTTATTTCGGCTTACTTTTTATCCGTTTAAGGCAATTCCATAACAGCGAAATCTGTTTATTTTGGGTTCATACCACTGTAATAAACCAGATTAATTAAAAAGCAAATGATCCTTGCTGGCTCCACTTCTCTACTTTATGTACAAAAGTGATATCAGAGAAGATAACACTAAGATATATTTCCCAAAATGTTGAACAATACCTTCAAGATCACAGAGACTCTGGATCTGGACTGACTTCGGCCTCCTATATTATCATGGTCATTTACACAGGATGGTCACCGTATGTTAGATTACAAATGCTGTTATTATTACTTTAATGAACAACTCATTGCTGGGTGTAACAGTTGATGAGAAATAAGCTTATTCTGTCCCATAAAGTCAGTCTTTCTTCGTGGTGTCTCACGGATGTCCTCAAATGTAACCATTGGTTATCTTAACACTGTGCAGTGCTTAGAAATGGCAAATCATGCTCAGTTAGCTAACAGCACACACAAATGCAAACAATATAATAATTTAACCCTGTTTAGATGACAAAGTGAGAAAGGTAGTTAGTAGTATTAGTCAGACTGGTTTACACAAGATGTGATGAAGTCCTCACCTGCGCCAAGAACACAAAATGTTAACATTGATTGTCAAACCAACAAAAAATACACGTTGTTTGAACCTGGCAATAAAGGGTGGTGGTTTATCAGTAAGCATAGAGTTTAAAAAGAAAGGGATGTATTACTGGATCACCAGTACAATGTCACATGAACGCAAAGTAAAACCTCCAGAATGCATAATCTCTTGCAGTTTACAGTGTGTGTGTGTGTGTGGGCAAGTTTTTTGGGTGAAATGCTAGTAAAAGGTGAGTTGGTGGAGTGAGGGGGTTCCCATCTAGTGTACTGTTGTCCGTGGTATACTCTTTCAGATTATGAGCGTCTGCAGAAACTGACCAGGCTCCTTACAGCTGCTATTATCACTGTCACAAGTCTATCAATCCCAAATACTCCATGTTAAAGCTTAAGTGATTACTCAAAATGACGTAGTTAACAAAGAATTTCAGCAGCTTTAAGTGAAGCTTTGAAATGGAGATTTATATTAGAGCT